TCACGGAAGAATGATACCCAGACATGTTTCTGGCTTAGCATTTAGAGCAGAAATCATTGTTTTGCATGTTTTCATCACCAACAGAGAGCACATTTGCAAGTTCTGCAGATTAAATTTATTCCAAGGGTTCTTAGTGTTCAAAGGCCAAAAGGACTTTTAAAAGACTCGAATGTAAATCTTTCCTGTTAAAATCTTGCCTGAGTCAAATTTATTGTTCCTTTCTAAAATTGCAGAATGATTATGGTAATTCTTCATATAACCAATGACTATTAACTCTCCCTTTATTCCAAATACCTCTCCTTAAAGCTAAATAATTCAAATCCTTCTATGTGGAGTCATACTTCAACATACACAACAGCAACACGTGGAACAGTCCTGCCCAGCAGAACTGTCTGTAATGATGAAATGTTCTGTTTCTCCACTGTCCAGTGGGGTAACAACTGCCCCATTACACTACTGGGCATTTACAATATGGCTAGTGATACTGAAGGTTGGAATTCTTAATTTGAACTTAATTTGAAATAAATTTAATTTTAATTAATCTACATTCAAATTTAAATAGAAACATATGTCAAGTGGCTACCATACTGGATGATGTAGCACTGGACATTATCCACTTCCTAATTATCTTATTTAATTATAGAATCTGTCAAATGAAAAAAAGAGACCAATAAAGACCTAATTGATTCCCAGAGCTGGATTATTTGATTTTAAACATAGTGCCATGATGTCAATGAAAGCAATCACATGGATTTAATTCTTAGGGGAAAGCATATTATCTTTGCAAGCAAAAATAAAATATAAACATTAAGTAAGCCTAACATGAAAAGATCTAAATAAGAGAATAATGACTTCAGACATTTACCTTTGTAGGCAAAGGCCTGTTTATCGTTAGGTAGGAGAAACAAATTCTAGTTTTCTGTAACATAGTAGAGATAACCATTCTTAACAATCATTTATTATACCTTTCGCACTAGGCAGAAGAAGAGTTTGAATGTTCTCATCCTTGACATATAATAAATGTTTGAGGTGGTAATTACCTTGATTTGCCCTTTGCCCATTGTATGTATGTATCAAGTATTACACTTAACTTCATATGTTACACATATCATATCTCAATTTTTAAAAATTTAGCCCGGCACGGATGGCACATGCCACCTAGGTGAGCATGGTAGAATGCAGTCATGAGCTGGGCAGCAGTGGCTTGTAACCGTAATCCTGCCTACTCAGAAGGCTGAGATCTGAGGACTGCATATTCAGCCAGCCCAGGTAGGAAAGACCATGAGACCTTTATTTCCAGTTAATCACCAGACAGAGAGAGAGAGAGACAGACAGACAGACAGACAGACAGACAGAGACAGACACTCAGAGAAAGTGGAGCTCTGGCTCAAGTGATAGAGTATTAGTCTTAAGAAAAAAAAAATCTCAGGGCCAGTGCCCAGGCCAGGACCAGCATAAACGCATATGCACATGAGCACGCGCACACACACACACACACACACACACACACACACACACACATAAATAATAGGTAGATGCTGATATGTAAACTTAAAGCCCTTTATTGATTGCATGGTAAATTGTACTGACTTAGTCATAGTTGATAGGTGATGTTTGAGTCTGAGCTCCATTTTCTTAGATACACAACACAAATAAGAACATATTTTCTTCCTACTGAGATTCTTCTTTCTTTAAGTGAGTTAATCTTAATAGGCCAAACAGCCAAAGACTGACTACTATGGAATTTCCATGGACTAATACGTGCACTTATATTAATACCAAATCATTAGAAATCTCATTGTCAGCTAGGTATGAACCCCCTAACTGGTTATTTAATTTATGCCATTATCTTTTTCCAGGAACGTAGACACAGTACTGAATCTGTTCTTTAGTATGAATTGATTTACTAAGCACTGCTCCAGGTGTTAGGAAGACACTATAATGTAAATTAAGACTCTGATTCCAATCTGAAATTAAATAGCCAGGTGATGGTGGCTCATGCTTGTAATCCTAGCTACTCACAAGGTAGATTTCAGAAAGATCAAAGTTCAAGGACAGCCCAGGCAAAGAGTTTGGAAGACCCCATCTCACCTAATAAACCGCAACTGCGTGGGCACGCGAGAGGTGGAGACTCGAGGATAGTGGCTCAGACCAGTCCAGCGGGAACGCCCAGGCGGCAGGCAGAGCCTGCGAGGACTCCAGAGCCAGGACAGCACTGGTCAGGGCCCAGGCGTCAACCGCAGCGTCCACTGAGGCAAAGGGCTGCTCTGCCCCCACCAGCATGGCCTGCACTCAGCCTCCCCACATCGGGCTCCTCATCGCCAGCTGGCCTTCGTGCTATAGATTAAATGGGTTGGCACGAATGAACTTCAAGATAACAGGCCAGGGTCAGACCATCTGTGCTCAATTTTGCCCCCCAGATTCCTCAGACTCACAGGCATGGAGTGGCTGCTTGATCAATGAAAACTAAGCAAGGAAATGAACTGAATATTGTCACTGTGGTTAAAACATTTAATTCTACCAGGCTCCAGCGGCTCACTCCTGTAATCCTAGCTACTCGAGACACTGAGATCTGAGGTTTACAGTTCAAAGCCAGCTTGGGAAGGAAAGTCTGTGAGACTCTTCTCCAATCAACCACCAAAAAACCAGAACTGGAGCTGTGGCTCAAAGTGGTAGAGTGCTAGCCTTGATCAAAAAAGCTGGGGGAGGGGCTGGGAAAGTGGCTCAGTGGTAGAGCGCTTGCCTTGCATGCTCGAGGCCCTGGGTTCGATTCCTCAGCCCCACATAAGAAAAAAGAAAAAAGCCGGAAGTGGCGCTGTGGCTCAAAGTGGTAGAATGCTAGCCTTGATCAAAAAAGCTGGGGGACAGCACCCAGGCCCTGAGTTCAAGCCCCACAATGGACATATATATATATATATATATATACATATACAGATGTATGTGTATATATGTATATATATACACACACACACTCATATACATCTATTTTAAAAGTCCTAATACCATGCTCGGGCATCATCTCTCTCTGGAGCTTGTCTCTGATTCTTCACCTCAGACAGAAATGCACTGCCCCTCTTAGTGAGGTTCTACACCTGTAAGGACTTCGCTCCTGCACATGCATCAAGGAGTTAAAGTTATTTGCATGCTTGTTTGTCATGTCTGCCAAAAAAGGTCCAAGCCACATCTGCGACACAGCTCAGAGCCTGGCACATAGAGTCTAGACGGAGGGTCTTCAAGGTAAAAGAGCAGGAGGTCTGCATTCTTCTCTTGAGTCTGTGACTCAGGGCTGTCATGAGCTTGTACAAAGCCCTTCTGTTCTGCATAATGAGGACATCAGACCAAACCAAATGTGCAAACTGCTGCCCTACAGGCCCAATGCAGGGCCTGGACATGGTTGTGGGCTTGACTAGCATTGACTAAAAGTCTTTGATCCAGGAGTAGTGGCTCACACCTGTCACCCTAGCTACTGGGAAGGCTAAGATCAGGAGGATAGTAATTCCATGCCAATGAAGGAAAAAGATGGTGACATCCCCAACCAATAGCTAGGTGTGGTGACATGTACCTGTCACCTCAAGTTGGTGTGAATTCAGTGGTTTTAAGCCAGTCTTGGCAAAAGAAATGTTTAGAACACTTCATCTCACAGAAACTGAGCGCAGTGGTGGGTACTTAGTATCCCAGTGACAGTAAGATATATAAAATAGGAGGACCACAGTCCTCCAGGCACAGGACTGGGGAAAGCAACACTATAGCTCAGCACACAAAATTAGCGAGAGGCATGGTACCGCGTTGGAATACCTGTCTAGTAAGCCCAAGACTCTGTGTTCAAACCCTGGTATCACTAAAAAAGAAAAAAGGCTTTAATGAAATTGGCTATTTGAGCATTAGAAAACTTCACATAAAGCTGAAATTTACATTTCAAGGCAGTTGTTGCCGTTCCCACATAACAGTAGCCCGAGTGGGCTGGGCTGCCCTGCCGGACAGGCTGGGGCCAGTCCTGGTGTGCATTTGGTGAGGGTTTTCTAATGTGATCTGACAGCACTGTGGGGGTTCTCTCCAGAACACGCAGCACACACGCATGCATGCACACACACACACACACACACATACCACGCATGCACACACACACACACACCACACATGCACACACACACACACCACACATGCACACACACACACACACACACACACACACACAAAGACCATTCTGAATGTGCTAACTCTGATAGCACTGTGGGGATTCTCTCCAGAACATGCAGCACACACGCATGCATGCACACACACACACACACACACACACCACGCATGCACACACACATACACACACACACCACGCATGCACACACACACACACACACAAAGACCATTCTGAATGTGCTAACTCTGATAGCACTGTGGGGGTTCTCTCCAGAACACGCAGCACACACGCATGCATGCACACACACACACACACCACACATGCACACACACACACACACACACACACACAAAGACCATTCTGAATGTGCTAACTCTGATAGCACTGTGGGGGTTCTCTCCAGAACACGCAGCACACACGCACACACACACACACGCACGCACCACACATGCACACACACACTCAGACCATGGAAAGGAGGCTGTGAGACCTGCTAAATGCTGTCACATTGGGCTGAAGTCCCCTGGCAATTAATGAAGAAAGGGAATGATATTAAATTGAGGAAGGGAAATAGAAAAAAAAAGGAAGAAGTGAGGGAGGCCTTAGCTATAGATTGTCCTACCCGAGGTATTACGGTACCCTGTGAGGGAAGTGAGATAGTTTTACAGCACCGGGTTTTTCCACACAGCAAAACAATCATTGTGCCTATGATCCTGGAAACACAGAGAATAGCTGAAGTGAAGACTGTGAGTCGATCATCACGAATTAGTGTGGCTTTGGGGGTTACTCCCTCGGGGATCGCTCCCTCCTGCTCCTCCTGGCCCTCTTACAGAGAGATGCAACTAGCAATTTGAAGTTTACACACCTTCACAGATGGGCTGTTCCCATCTGCGGCATAACCATAGCGTCCCAAGGCAAAGCTGCTGTTACTCACAGTATAATCAGCAGCACAGCAGGTGCTGAGCTGGAGAAGGAGCGAGGAGCACATTACTAAAAGGCCTGATGAGTCTAACATGGTGCTTGTCGCTAACAAGTACTGCTCTAGGAAAAGTAAAACGGCACACTCTCCGCGTGCATGGCATATACCCGAGATGCCCATGTGGCGTTTGCTTGGACAAATCAACACAAACCCCGCCTGCATTCTCTTTCAGTGCTCTTTTACACTGTCTCAGCACAAGGCCTATTAATAAGGAGAAAAATAACTTATTTTATTTGTTGTTCAGGGTTTAGGATTTGGGGTAAGGGATTTTTTGAGGAAACTCAACAGCATACTCAGTGAAAACTGTTCTGGTTTCTAAAATACCCGAAGCAGGCCAGGCGTGGCTTTCCACCAGTTGCTCTGGAGTCTCCTGAGCACTGCTCTCCAAGGGGCAGGCTGGAGAGCCCACTGGACATCTGAGAACGGGGACAGTAGTCTGTGAGCGCACACCATACTCTGTCCTGTTGAAGAACAACAGTACCTGCAGCCAGAGGGTGGGAGAGCACAGGTTTGGGATTAAAGGGCTGTGGTCCATCGGTAACCCTACACATGCCAAAAGTTTCCTTGGCAGCAATGTTAAACAGGTGAAAAAGACCATCTAAACCATGCTTCTGAAACTGTGAGATCTTCACCTGAGGATCTTATTAAATAGTTTTACATAAACAGATGAGAGTGAACCTAACTGTAGGAACTCATCCCCCTACAACAGAAAGTGGCCAAAGAGTATTGACTACAGTAACTGAGGGAGTGCATGGAGAATAGCTGAGAAATGCAAAGACCCCTACGATGGCTCCAGAGGGAGAACCGAGAACCCTGCCCCCCCGTCTCTGCCAAAAGGGACGGGACCCCAGCTGCCCGAGTAGCCCAGGTCACAGATGTGGGCACCGGCTCAGCCTCCCGAGTAGCCCAGGTCACAGGCATGGGCCACGGGCTCAGCCTCCCGAGTAGCTCAGGTCACAGATGTGGGCACCGGCTCAGCCTCCCGAGTAGCTCAGGTCACAGACGTGGGCCACGGGCTCAGCCTCCTGAGTAGCCCAGGTCACAGACGTGGGCCACGGGCTCAGCTTCCCGAGTAGCCCAGGTCACAGACGTGGGCCACGGGCTCAGCCTCCTGAGTAGCTCAGGTCACAGACGTGGCCACGGGCTCAGCCTCCCGAGTAGCTCAGGTCACAGACGTGGGCCACGGGCTCAGCCTCCTGAGTAGCCCAGGTCACAGACGTGGGCCACGGACTCAGCCTCCTGAGTAGCCCAGGTCACAGACGTGGCCACGGGCTCAGCCTCCCGAGTAGCTCAGGTCACAGACGTGGGCACGGGCTCAGCCTCCTGAGTAGCCCAGGTCACAGACGTGGCCACGGGCTCAGCCTCCCGAGTAGCTCAGGTCACAGACGTGGCCACGGGCTCAGCCTCCCGAGTAACTCAGGTCACAGACGTGGGCCACGGGCTCAGCCTCCTGAGTAGCCCAGGTCACAGACGTGGGCCACGGACTCAGCCTCCCGAGTAGCTCAGGTCACAGACGTGGCCACGGGCTCAGCCTCCTGAGTAGCTCAGGTCACAGGCGTGGGCCACGGGCTCAGCCTCCTGAGTAGCTCAGGTCACAGACGTGGGCCACGGGCTCAGCCTCCTGAGTAGCTCAGGTCACAGACGTGGGCCACGGGCTCAGCCTCCCGAGTAGCTCAGGTCACAGACGTGGCCACGGGCTCAGCCTCCTGAGTAGCTCAGGTCACAGGCGTGGGCCACCGGCTCTTGGCTCATGTCCTCATCCTCTGCATGCTCACTCATGACCCTGATTTCTCATAGCCCAGGCTCAGCTGAAAGCTCAGCTTCTGAAGCCCATCTCCCACAGAACAAGTAGACACAACTCACTGCCAAGAGCCTGACAGAACCTCAAGTGTCTGTACCCAGCCCAACAGCCAGTCAGTCAGCAAATCCAACCCCCGCCTGCTCCAGGAGGCCAGGCACACAGCTGGCAGGCCCACCGGCCTTGTCCTTCCCTATCCCAGACTCCTAGCCACTCAGGTCGCTGTCCACCCAGCAAAGCCCCAGCGCGCCCACTGTGCAAAAAACTGTGTTGCAGTACCCATGCCCCCCTGAATCTGGCCCCACAGTGAGACATGTACTGGTCCAGCTCCACCACAGGTGGAGCTATCCACCTATCCTCACGGAGGCTCTCCCACCCATCCACTGATCCCACCACACACCATCCAGTCAGCCCACAACACCCACGTGTACCTGAACTTGGCCTACTATCTATCTAGTCAATGGGCCTGTAGCCTCAGAGAGACAGCCTACAAATCCCACATGAACCTGAGATGGGAACAGGAGCCACAGCCTACGCACCCCACCACTAGTGGTGATGGCTGGGAGCCAACTATCTCACTGGAACATCTTGAGGCTGCCCCAAACAAACACCAGGTGTTTTCACCCTGCCCTAAGCAAACACCCTGCAGCTGCTTTGGCCAATGAAAAAGCTTCCTTATTCCAAGCATATAAATACCTTTGTGTGAAAAATAAAAACTGGCAGCTTGATCAGAATCCCTGTCTTGCTGTCATTCTTCCTGTCTCTTGTCCCTTCATTCCTTCTCGCTTAGGTTCATTGCCCTCGTTGAAGTCCTGCAGGTCGGGACAGTGATGCTCTGTGACCCAGGCCACACACAGGGATTACAGCTGAGGAATCTACACCAAAAACACCCTTTTGGGCTTCACCTAGAATCAATGACAACACACCATAGTCAAATGATACTCCAGAAACTGATACAAGCAAGAAAATATGCCTCACTCAACAGGGGGAAAAAAGCAAAGCAAAACCAACAGCAACATCAAAAAAGAATAAAACTCTATAGAAATCAAGAGATTGTTGTTCAAGGCCAACATGGGCAAAAAGAAATTCATCTCAACGAGTTGCTGGGCAATGTGGCACAGGCCTATTATCCCAGCTACAGGAAGAAACACAATGGCTGCATGCAGTGGCAAGTGCCTGGCATGAAATAGACATCCAAACTCAAGAAGGTGAAAGAATCCCAATGAAACTCAACAGAGAGATCACCTCATCAGCACATTATAATAAAGCTGTCAAACGTCAGGCAAAAACCAACTAATTAAAACATCAAGGAAATCATCACTTGAATTATTCAACAGAAATCATACTGTTAAGGAGAGAATAGCATGAACTGTTCATTGCACTAAAACGTAATAACAGTGAGCTGTACCAACAATATTATACCTAGCCAAGATACCCTCCAGAAATAAAGAAATAACCATGTATCTTTTGTGGGGCTGGTTTGGTGGAGATATATTGTTTCAATTTTTCTTTGCTATGGAAGGTTTTTATTTGACCTTTGGTTATGAAGGATTCAACTCCAAATGGATCAAAGACCTCGGAGTCAAAGCAGACACTCTGAAAACATTATAGGATGGAATAGCAGAAACCTTAGGTCTCCTTGGCACAGGCTTTTCTTAATAGAGACCCAGAAACAACAAATCAAAGAAAGGTTGAACAAATGGGATTGCATGAAATTGCAGAGCTTCTGCATGACAAAGAACATAGCTAGCAAGATCAATAGAAAGCCCACGGCTTGAGAGAAGATTGTTACTAGCCATACAATGGACAAGGGTCTCATATCTAAAATATACCTGGAACTCAAAACATTAAATCCCCCAAAACAAATCTTCAAAGAAACAACTGCCCAATAAATAAGTGGGCTAAAGACTTAGAGAGAAACTTCTCTGAAGAGGAAAGAAGGATGGCCAATAGATACCTGAAGAAATGCTCAACCTCCCTAGCCATAAAAGAAATGCAAATCAAAACAACATTGAGATACCACCTCACTCCAGTTAGAATGGCTATAATCAAAAAACTCTAAAAACAACAGATGCTGGAGGGGATGTGGACAGAAGGGAACCCTACTGCATTGTTGGTGGGAGTGTAAACTTGTTCAACTACTTTGGAAAGCAGTATGGAGGTTCCTCAAAAGACTCCACATAGAACTCCCCTATGACCCAGCAATCCCACTTCTGGGCATTTCCCCAAATGATAACAAACAAGACCATACTAAAGCTACCAGCAAAACTATGTTTATTGCAGCATTATTTACCATAGCTAAGATATGGAACCAACCCGGATGCCCCTCAGGAGATGAATGGATTAAGAAAATGTGGTATATATACACAATGGAATTCTATGCCTCCATCAGAAAGAATGACATTGCCCATTTGTTAGAAAATGGAAAGACTTGGAAAAAATTATATTAAGTGAAGTAAGCCAGGCCCAAAGAAACATAGGTCCCATGGTTTCCCTTCTTTGCAATATCTAGTATGTGTCTGAGTCAATCAGAAAAGGTCAGATAAGTTGATGTTAGGGGAATGTATTTAAATATTTTTTTTCTTTCATGCAACTGTTTCTAACATATTCATAAGATGATTTATATGTTGCTTTGTATGTCCCTCCTCCAGGGTATAACCCCTGCTTTCACTGTATTTGATGTTGGTATAATTTGTGGAGGGGAAGGGCAAAAACAAATCATTTAACTAGGGATACAGGTGGACCCATTGCAACAATGAAATGTACAAGTTGTTATGTCGAAAAACGAACTTTAAAATTTTGGTGGGGGGAAGGATAGGGTGGGGGGAAGGTGGGGGGTAGGATAGGAAGGGATGGGAAGGGGAAACAAAGGAGGAGGCTACAATGCTTGATAAGAAATGCACTCATTACCTTGCCCATGTAATTGTAACTCCTCTGTACAGTATTCTCACAATAAAAAAATAATTAAAAAAAGAAATAACAGAGAAAAGTTATCCATAGCATAGCAAAGTAGTCATAACTGAAGAATTTATCACCTCGAGATTGAACTTACAAGGTATTATTATAAATTAATAAACAAAGACGTACACACATACACACTGGCATGATGAGCAAGGGAAAGTGTCCTATACTATTGGTGGGGATTTAAATTAGCACAGTTGCTTATTTACCCATAATAGCATTACATTATGGGCATTTACAATGTTCAAGATCTGAAATCAACCTATGTATCAACCAATGGGTAAAGAAAGAAAATGTGAAGGCCAGCCTTACAAAACGATAAAAGTTTATTTTTTGCAGCTATCTGGGTGAGCTGGAGGACATTATTCTAAGTAAAATAAGAAAGCATGGAGACAAATATCACAGGTTATCAGTTGCATGAAGAAGCCAAAAAAAATGGATCTCCTATTAGTTGATCTCATACAAGCACAGTGAATGTGTATAGCATTGCAGTTGGATAGAAATAACTTTCCTTGTTCTATGGCACTATGGAGAAGTTATGGTGACAGCTAATTTGTCTATTTCAAATTAGCCAGCAGAGAGGGAAGATTTTAAATATTCTCAGCACAAGAGAAATTATAAATGTTTGAGGTGTAAGATATACAATTACTTTCATTTGATCATTTCACATTGTATACATATATTCAAATAAAATCCTGTAATCCATAAATATATATAATTAT